TTCTTTAGTGAAGATGTTGCCTGTTAAACCGTATTGCTTTATAAAGCTTTCAAACTTGTCTCTGCTGAGAGCCTTGGTGAGAGCATCCGCCAGCTGTTTGCTACTTTCCACAAACTGAACATCAATTTCACCTATTGTTTGCATATCACATGAATAAAAATATTGTATATCTACATGCTTAGTACGTTTAGATGATTTAGGAGTTTTCACTAACTCAATTGCCTTTTGATTATCGCACTTTAAAGGCGTAGCACCTATTTGCTCACAGTTAATTGCTTTCGCTAATTTTCGGAGCCATACAACTGCTTTCGTTGCTGCACATATAGCAATAAACTCTGCTTCAGTGGTAGACGTTGCAGTCACGCTTTGTCTTCGTGAGCTCCAGGCAACAGGACCATCGTTAATGAAAGCTATCCAACCAGAAATTTTCCGACGAGTGTCAACATCATTCCCCCAATCCGCATCGCAATACGTGACAAGTGCAGTATTACTGGAGTTTATTAAAAAAGATATGCCGTGATTTAAAGTGCCTTTGAGGTATTTAAAAAACGTTTCACTCCCTGCCAATGAGCTTCAGACGGATTTTCAACATATCGACTCAATAAACCAACTACGTATGCTATGTCCGATCGTGTGCACACCATCAGATACATCACTGAACCAATGGCCTCTCGATACTTCACAGGTGTTGAAACTGCAAAACAATTAGAATGATTAAAACGCTCCAAAAGTTTTGAACAATACATATTTTGAAAAATGAAAAGTTTTTGCTCTTTTATGTCGAACTTCATTTGCATTCCAACAAAATACTCAGCCATTTTGTGAGTAATCTCAAACTCAGAGTGAAGTTTTTCTAAGAGGCTTTCAATTAGACAACGATGGTTAGCGCATATAAGTCCATCGTCTACATACAATGCAAGGTACATAGTGTTGATACGTAAATACACCCGCATCAGCCGAAGCTTGCTCAAATCCGAAGTTCAGCAAAAAATCTACTATGCGTTTATTCCACTGTCTGGAAGCTTGCTTTAAACCATACAAGCTCTTTTGCAGTTTACACACTTTGTCATTTTGTCGATATCCATATGGCTGCTCCATATAGATGTTTTCTTGTATGTGGCCATGTAGGAAACCTGTCTTAACGTCAAATTGAATAATTTGCATGTTTTTCGCCGCTGCAATAGATAGTACTGTTCTTACCGACTCATATCGAACTGGCGAAAACACTTCCGTGTAATCTACCCAGCGAATTTGTGAACAGCCTCTAACAACTAGCCTAGCTTTATATTTTTCTATTTAGCCCCTCGAGTCATATTTCCATTTAAAAATCCATCGGTTAGTCAACACATGCATATCGTCAGTGCGTTCGACGAGTGTCCAAGTTTCATTTTTCTGCAGAGCATTTAATTCGTCATTAACTGCTGCTGCCCATTTCACACTGTCTTCGCTCTCTAGTGCCTCTTCTAAACTCGAAGGTTCGAACTGCACTGTGTGAACTTCAGCATCGATTTGTTGCTCACCAGCACTCTCCTTTTGCTTACTTGCACTCCTCGTTTCGTACGCCTCTCTGTAATTTTCGTATTTCTTTTTCAGTTTCCTCGTACAATCATTCGCTGATGCAGATTGCATTTCTTCGTCATTGCTTACTACTGCTTTATCGTCAACCCCACTTTGCATTGGTTCACTGTACTCATTGTACTCGTCAAATTGAACATCTCTGCGAATAAAAACTCTTCTGGCGCGCGAATCAAACACCCTATAAGCCTTGCTTTGGTCATTATATCCAACCATTACATATTTGATTGCGTTTTTCTCCCATTTTGTGCGCTGCTCTTTAGCTACGAAAACGTATGCATCAGAGCCGAATATTCGTAAATACTTGACCGATGGTCTCTTACCGAACCATTTTTCATAAGGAGTGATTCCATCCAAAACTTCAGTCGCTGTTTGATTTCTTAAGTACACTGCAGTGTTTGTCGCTTCTGCCCATAAATACAGAGGCAGCTCCCTCTCATGCAGCATGGCTTTCGCGCATTCAACCACTGTCCGATTTTGCCGTGGTATGAACCCATTCTGTTCTGGTGCTCTAGGAGTACTTACTTCATGCTTGATACTATGTTGCAATAGAAATTTGCGCACATCATCATTGCAAAACTCGAATCCTCCGTCTGAGCGTAATCTTTTTATTTTATGACCATCGGCTTGCACTTCAGCCACGAAGTGCATCAGTTTTTCTTGCACTTCAGTTTTACTTTTAATAGAATAAACAAAGCAATATCTGGAGTGCTCATCCTTTAAAAGCATAAAATAGTTTGCGCCCCCAATGGATGGGGTGCTCATTTTTCCACACAGGTCCACATGGAAGGTCTCCCCAGGTAATTTTGCCCTATTTGCGCCAGTCTTCGGAAATGATTGACGATGTTGTTTGCCATTTGTGCAACCTTTACAAAATGGCATTTCGCCTGAGGTATCTGCAATTTTTAAGTCTGAAACGATGCTTTTGTTACTCCTTTCTTGAAGTGTTTTAAAATTTACATGTCCCAAACGTTCGTGCCAAAGTTTGATTGGCTCAGAACAAAGTACATTAACACTTGCGTAGTTAGCTGCTATTGGCCTCAAATTTAATTTATATAATCCACTTTCTTCATTACCCTCGACAACTGCTTTATTTTGCTTCATGAAGAGCACTCGCCCTGTGCCTTTCTCAAACTTGACGTCCATCGATTTCGTCGCTTTAGATATTGATATAAAATTTTTGTCCAAATCAGGAACCAGTAAAACGTCCCTTATTGTGTATGCAGTTTGGAATCCAACAGAAACTCTTACTTTTATGTCTCCTTTTCCAACAACTTTCAGTTTGCGGCCATCTCTAACTCGTAAGTGGAATACTGCATCCGGTAACTCAGAATAGTTAAAGAATAGCTCCCTCTGAAAAGACACGTGATCCGTAGCTCCAGAATCGGCGTAGAATACATTTAGGTTTTTGCTTTGCGATTCAGTCGATTTGTGCAAAATAAACAACTGTGAATTATCAGCATCAGCTGATTTCGGCCTTTTGACGTTTGGCTCCTTTCGTAGAACAAATGAATGTCCATTGGCTTCACGCTTGACTTGTTCGTCTGTTTGCTTTTTACGACATTATCTGGCCCAATGACCATCTTTTTGACAGTAGTTGCATTTCCCTTTACGCTTTGTGATGGTATTGTTGCCTTTGATTGATTTTGCCACGTAGACTGATTTGTACACACCACTTTGCGTGTCACCTACGCGTAAATTGATTAGCGCCTCCTCATTAAATAAATGCTCAGTCAATTTTTCAACCTTTTGTGCGTCTTTTGGAACGGCATACCAGGCAGTGCGAACATGATCATATTTCGCTGGAAGACTACTTAAAATTTTTGCTATTATCATCGGCTCTTCCTGCTCAAGATTCCTGTCTCTTAAACGTTGTGCAAGCGACGTTACTGTTGCGATGTAGTCGATCATGGTCTCCTCTTCTCCCATCTTGCAGTTAATAAACTTTTCCAACAGTACTTGGGCTGATTGATCGCTTTTTTCAGAGTGGACAGCTTGAAGTCTGGACCACATTTGCGCTGCCGTTCCACAGTCAGTCAAATACTTCAATTGGTCTAACTCGATTCCCCTCATTAAAAATGCCTGAGACTCAGCATCTTTCTCATCCCATACCAACGCGTTTGACGTAGTTCTGGTTTCAGTGCCCAATATGTATTTCTTTAGTTTGTTTTCCGCCATATAAATTTCCATTTGGCGACGCCACAGCTCGTAGTTTTGTCCATTGAAGCGGTGAATCTGATACGTCTTGGATTCTGACATGCTTACCTTTGCTTCAGACTCAGCAATATTTAATGTTGAATCAAGTTCTATAATTTCAATAGATTCACAAAACTCCGCGGTTTCGTCCACAATTGCTGAATCAGTGCTCAACGTATTCTGCGCTATTGAGGGAAATTTCTCCATACGCGATGTCAAAAGTGTACAATGTTTTGGCCGTGGCAAACTGGGTCCATAACCTTTTCCGATTGTTGAATGAATAAAACGCGGATCTTGAAATTCAGTTTTGATATCTATTGAATTAACAATAGTATAAGTAGAATAACTTTGTGGTCGCTAAATCTTAGAGCCGGAAGTTCAAACCCGAGCCAAAAAGGAACAGAAGGAAGGACAGACGAGAAAAAGGAAATTCTGAATAAAATGTACAGAGAAAATTTAGTAAAGTATAACAGGGCTGCCATATCAATTTATACGTATGCAGAACTTAATAAAGCGATTTCTTCAACATATAGTATATATTTTACCAAAAATTTACTTACAAAATCACAGTTGTTGGAAATTATCGCTCAAATTTTCCAATTAATTTGAAACAAAAGGTCAAAGCAAAAGCGAAACAAAGAAACAGTGATACCTGCGCAAATTTTTTCACAAAATTTTCTGCTCCATTTTTTGTTCCATTTTGCCCAGAAATGAAATTGGAATAAATAGAGTGGGCATTACTGTAACGCTGGTATGCCAAAAAAGCCAAAATTACAACAACCACCCCCTAAGTGACAACACCTTATTATTATTTCACCATGGACCTTCACCAATAATACCTTCTCTTATAATATGCTATACACTTAGTTAGATCTGTATGGCTTTTAGAAAAGGTTGCAAGCTTAAGCAAAGATAGTTTCAAACTAAAGATTTTATAAATCTCTTTCGATATGTACTTGTGATCAGTACGAAGGACTATTGTCTCCCACTTCAGTTTTCGCTATCATTACTTATGTAATCTGTGAAATGCAGAACGAAAGCGCTTTATCAGCATTTTATAATCATTAGACGGATGAAGAATCCGATTTCACCAGCAATTCTCTCCGTTTCCGGACACTTTTACAGATATTAATAATTCGGAATTGATTAATCTAATACTTACGAGTATCGTGTGTTATAATTACAAGTCTATTCTGCGATGGTAATAAAAAAATTTTGTAACCCATAACTGAAGTTCTCGTGTCAGTTTTGTTGATAAAATTTGAAAATGTTTCGCTTACAGTCGAAATATTGATTATGATATACAAATGCATATCTAGGGTTAGAAGAATTACAGAGATTACTATATTAATTGCCTTCAGTAGCAATGTCCATTATGCTTTGTCTAAAGTAAGGTCCTTCGTTGACATAAGTTCGTAATTGAAGTTTAATTTGGATATCGAAAACATCGCTATTTGCCAATAGACTAATTAATTCGAACTTCTTGTACTTCGCCTCCTTATCAAACTCAATTTTCCGATCCAGTAAATACTCAACAAATCCGGCTGTGCCTTTGAGCGCTACAATGCCCCATCTATGGAGACAAACAGATTTGATAAAGCTTAGACACGCAACTTTGATATCTGGAAACGGATTGCGGCAGAAATCCATCAAAAACTGCATGTTTTCGGCGCCGGATAAATAACTGAACCATTTCCGCAGCATTTCTCTGGAATAAAAATAGGAAAATAAAAAAGATTCGCAATTAAAATATGATTGAATTACTCTATTTCTTTGTCATTTACTCCATCTGTCGAAAAAACTATTTCTAACGTGCTGAATGCCCGATTTTTTAAATCTGTTGAGAGATTCTTTAAATATGAAGTGATTTCTTCAAGTATTTCTTTTATTAGCGCTGGATATATTTGGTCCAAAAGCAATTTTCCCTTCTTTGATTGTGTAAGATTCGCTGAAAACAAATTTTCAAGTGTCCCTAATTTAAAACGTTCGGTTATTTAACAAAAAAGTTCTTCAAAAGTGTATTTCCGCAAAACTCTGCAATGGTCAGAAAACGCAAATGGAAAACCACTTCTATCAATTAACTCTTGCAGTGATGGGCACACCTAAATACCTTTGTACTTAAAGTACCACAAATAACACTGGACCACAAATTTCAACTTTTTCTCTTTACCAGAAACGCCGTTATGAAATTCTTATGTAAAATCACCCCCTGATTCCGAAAATCAATGTTATTTTTAATTCTATGGTACCGTTTTTGAGATATTTGCAATTTACCGTTTTTGCAAAAAAAAAAAAATTGGGTCCACTTCATCATATATATATACGAATTAAGCAATTCCAAAACGGTTTGAAGCTTTTAAAAGGTAATAAAATTTTCTATAAACTGTGCATACAACACATTTTGCTAGGCCCTGTAGATTCAAAGATAACGAACAATCATTACCGATTTTTTCAATTTTTTTTGTAAAAATATAAAAAAAATTGTACTTTGCGGGGAAGGATCTCGAAAACCTTTTATTTTTTTGCAGATTTTTTTTTCTCCCTAAGCTCTGTTGTATTACAAAAAAAATAAGCTATCATCGAAGAAAATCGATGCAAAACTACGTAAGTTATAAGCGATCAAATAAAAATACCCAGGTTGCGCAACTTCAATGTATGTACCTATACATACATACATATATTAAAGGTATAAAGTGCAAGTGAGATATTATCCGGATAAACGAATAACACCATAACAATGATAACACTTTTTCTTTAAATAAATCAAATAGTACTTTTAATACTCGAATTGTATTATAGTAGGTAGAGTGGTTGCATCGAAAGGAAGAGTGGTTGGGTTAAGAGATAAGAGATTTGGAACTATCCAAGGAAAAGGCCGATATCCACACTTCTCGTATGCAACAATTTAAATTTGTGTCATCCGATATTAAGGTGACATATAGTAGAACTCGTCACGAACCATTTTCCAAACACTATACCAAGAAAGACAGTATATGCTACTGCAATGACATCTCTGGTTTATTCAAAGAGTTTGGTCAAACATATGATTCAAAAGAGTGGCGATTGTTCATAGACGGCAATAAACTGAGTTTGAAGGCTGTATTATTGCATATTGGTAACAAAAAGCCTTCTATCCCGATTGCACATGCAGTAAATACAAAGGAAACCTACGAGGAAATGCAAAAAATACTCAAATTTATCAAATATGAAGAGCATGATTGGAAAATATGTTCTGATCTCAAAGTCGTTGCAATGCTATGCGGTCTACAAAGTGGCTACACCAAGCACTGCTGCTTCCTCTGCAAGTGGGATAGCCGAGCTCGTAAGGACCACTACGTCAGAAAGGATTGGCCGGAAAGAGTCGAGTTTACCATTGGTGTGGATAACATCAAATACACCCCTCTTGTCAAGAAAGAGAAAATCATACTTCCACCCTTACACATCAAGCTCGGTCTCATTAAAAACTTTGTTAAGGCTTTGGACAAAGAAGGCGAAGCATTCGACTATTTGAAAACAGTTTTTCCAGATATTTCTCAAGCCAAGATAAAGGAAGGTATTTTTGTTGGACCACAAATAAGAAAGTTGATCAACAATAATCAATTCAAAGGACTACTCTCATCAGTTGAGGCAGCAGCGTGGGAATCCTTTGAAAAGGTCGTTGCTTCTTTTCTCGGTAGACACAAAAGCCCTAACTACGAGCAGATAGTGAACGACCTAATCAATAATTATGCGAAAATGGGCGTAAATATGTCTTTAAAAATTCACTTTCTCCACTCACATTTGAGCTTTTTTCCGGCAAATCTTGGCGACGAAAGTGATGAACATGGCGAAAGGTTTCATCAGCAAATGAAATTAATTGAGAATCGATATCAAGGATTCTGGGACGTCGCAATGATGGGTGATTACTGCTGGTTTCTCATAAGAGAAACCGATCCTAAACTGAATAAGCGTCAAAGTAGAACACATAATTATTTCGACAACATAGTAAAATCAAATTAAGATAAAGATTGTTAGAATATAGTATAAACATAAATAAATTTAAAAAAAAAGTTAAAAATATGGGTAATTTCATTCATAAATTGAACTTTTAACTCAATAGAAACAAAGCATAGCTAGATATTTCACTCTTCTTTATACCATACATACGTTTTGAGGTATACGTTGAAATTGCGCAACCTGGGTATTTTTATTTGATCGCTTATAACTTACGTAGTTTTGCATCGATTTTCTTCGATGATATCTTATTTTTTTTGTAATATAACAGAGCTTATCTGCAAAAAAATAAAAGGTTTTCGAGATCCTTCCCCGCAAAGTACAATTTTTTTTATATTTTTACAAAAAAAATTGAAAAAATCGGTAATGATTGTTCGTTATCTTTGAATCTACAGGGCCTAGCAAAAAGTGTTGTATGCACAGCTTATAGAAAATTTTATTACCTTTTAAAAGCTTCAAACCGTTTTGGAATTGCTTAATTCGTTCTTGAGATATATATGATTAAGTGGACCCAATTTTTTTTTTTTTTGCAAAAACGGTAAATTGCAAATATCTCAAAAACGGTACCATAAAATTAAAAATAACCTTGATTTTCGGAATCAGGGAGTGATTTTACATACGAATTTCATAACGGCGTCTCTGGTAAATTTTGGCCGTCGACCAGTGTAATTAGTATTTGGAGAAGTCTAAATATTCAAGTAAAAAGAACTTAGGTATTTAGGAGCTGCTAATTACCCAAGTAATAAATACTTAGATATTTAGGAGTTTGCTAAATCCTCAATTGAAAAATACTTAGGTATTTAGGAGCTGCTAAATACCCAAGTAAAAAATATTTAGGTATTTAGGAGCTATTAGATATTAAAGTAGGAAAAACTTGAGTATTTAGGAGCTGCTAGATAGCAAAGTAAAAAAAATTAAAGCATTTAGCAGGCGCTAAATACTCTGGTGCAAAATACTCAGGTACCTTGGGGATGCAAAATACTTTCACTAAAGTACCAAGGTATTTAGTCGATGGCTAAATACTTTTAAACTAAACACTGTATAATTTAGGAGAAATTTTAAGAATTAACACCTCACCTTATGCTCACCTCAACTTACTTTACCACAACTCACTGCACCTCACCACACCTCACTTAAACTCTCCACATCTCAATTTGGGAACTGTTTTGGGATTTTAGAGATTCTCCGAACTAAATCAGGATTCTCAAGACTATTTCGGGGTTTTCGGGACTATTTCGGGATTCTCGAAGCTTTTTCGTAATTCTTTCGGCATTCCCGGAAACTTTGTTTGGGGCTTTCGGGATTTTCGGAACTAATTTCGGGACTTTCGAGACTACTACGGGCCTATTTAGGAATTTTTGGGACTGCTTCGGGATTTTTGGGAATTTTGGGATTATCGAAACTAATGTGCGATTAATGGATTAATCAATTTTTTTATTAATTACAATCCTGCTTAATCAAATAATTTGATTAATCAGATTCTGATTAATCAGATCCTGAGTTTTTACTGTTTACTCAAAAAAAATTATTTGAAATCTGAATAACTTTGTTCATTTCTTTCGGTTTGCTTTCAAACCAAATGAAATGTTTTTATATGTATGTTTGTATGTACAGTTAAGCTCAATTCAGGATTACAGCGGACGACGGTACAGCGGTCGGCGGTAAGTGAACACCTGCATAATTGCCGCAGTGAAATCCCTCAGAGTAAATACAATTGCGTCGCATGGCGGCTTCCGTCAGTTCCCAACAAGCATTTCAGTAAACGTTTTTAAAAATAACTTAAATTAAGTTTGCTATAATAAGCGTTAAATAAGCATTTTTAATATTAAGCTTATTAAAAGTTTTTTCAAACAAACCTTTAATAAATTTTGAGAGCGAATGTTTATAAATAACTTAAACTTATTAATGAAATGTAAATGCCAACGACATGAAGTAGTAAATATAAAATTTTTTCAATCGTAAGTGACGTGTTTACGTTTTTTAAAATATATTATTAAAAGAAAAAATTAAATAAAACCAATGCGGTAAAACAAGAAAATCCAATCCAGGACCCGCTGCGCTAATCGGTGGAGCATTCGAGTCTTCAAATGATGAGTTTCCCTTATCCTTTCTTAGTTTAACATTCAATTAAAAATGTATTAAATTTTTTTCAGAAAAGTTCATCAATGAGAATGGCGGCGATAAAGCGCAATATATAGCTGCATCGATGTCCCTTTTCCAATTTGCCAATAACCGCAAGTAATTGAAAGCACGTAACAAGATGTAATAATTAACTTTTTTATGCTTAATTTGTATGTGTTATTGTGAATTTGTATGCTAAAATGTCTATTCCCTATTTATATTTTCGCGACTGTAGATGAGTCCGCGGAAAATTCGCATTTCGTTTAGTTTCTAGATGTTAAGCAATCTATGTATGAGGTTTTAATGAAATATCTTTAAATAAAGGGTTATAAAAATGTTTATAAAAAGCTTTCTTTTGAAAATTGTTAGTAAGTTTATATTGATACGCGTATATAAAACTTTTTTTGAACCTTTATTATAAGTTTACACTTTTACGCTTATAAAAAGCTTTCTTTTGAACATTTATTACAAGTTTATATTTCTACGCTTATAACCAATGTTCCTTTTCGATTATATTACGCTTACTTTCAAGCGTTTTATAAACAAAAAATCAACGTTTTGTAAGCTTAATGTTTATAATTGAAAACTTAAAAAAAACTTTCTTTAAGTTTATTTTGCTTGTTGGGTTGTCATTTTGATTTGAAAATTATCATTAAAATTAAATATTTTTTCGGTACGTGCGTATATGTAGATTTGCTGGAAATAAAAATATGTAGATAAAAACATTGCAAAACTTGTGGAAATAATAAAAAATACTACAATCAATACTCAATGAACTTGGTCCCTTCCGTCCCCGCTGGGCGGTAAAAATAGAAATAAATTTATATCCACCGAAAAACGTCGGCGGTTAAAACGGTGCCGCCGCAATTTTGAGCCATTCCATATGCGTTTGTGAGTTGTAATTTTGACAGCGGTTAACCGACGACCGCTTTGCCGTCGTCCGTTGCAATTCTGAGTAGAGCTACATATATGTATGTTCGTATGAACATTCAAT